TAACTCTTCTAGAATCAATCAAGAAACTTTTTACAAAGATCCTTACAAAAAGGCTGACAAAAGTCCTCACAAACAACCACATTCTATCTCCACATAACCGGGCTGCACTTCCTGGACACAGTACCAGAGAACCCATTACAATAATAAATAAAGTACTGGAAAATGTAAGAAACACACGAAAGCCTTGCTTTATGCTCTTCCAAGACATGAGCAAAGCTTATGATACAGACAATGTAGAAAGACTAGTAACCTAAATGCATCGAATTAAGATCCCACTACAAACAATCAACTTAATCAAAAACTGTTTTCACAACCGACAGAATACTGTTATCACACACTTTGATAACATAGACCCATACTCTGTTGAAGAAAATATCGATCAAGATGATACAATATCCCCCCTACTTTGGCGTATATACTATGACCCACTTATCTCTGTCATCAGCCATATAAAAGAATACCAGCTACAATGTCACAAGCCCATACAAAGCAATCTCACCCTCCCAGACATAAACTTATCAATCACGGCATACATGGATGACACCACCTTTATCACTCAGGACAAAAAGGATCTTCTAGATATCATCAATATCAGTACCTTCTTTTATAGCCTAAATGATATCATAGTCAACCCACACAAATCGGAACTGATAATACTTAATGAACCCCAAAACAATATCTATGTCAACAACTTCAAAATAATACTGGCAGATCCAACAACAGCTATCAGAGTTCTAGGCATATGGCATGAAGCCAAAGCTGACAAGAAGCATCAACAAAACTTGATTATGTCCAAGACAACTTCCCTATGTAACACACTCGCCAGAAAACAAATTACAGATAAAATGCACTGATATATCACAAACCACGTAATTTTCCCCACCATAGAATACCTCTTACAAGACCTAGTCCTCTCACAAGGGGAATGTGCGAAGATTGATAAAAAAATCAGACATAGCTTTAGACAATGGGTCAGTCTGGCCCATACAGCACCCAACACAATGATCCACCTAGATAATCAATATGGCATCATGGAAATACAAACCAGACAGTTACAAAAACATGCCAGCGACATACAACAATTATTCTTCAACTCAAACATAGTCAGCAACATCATGCACAGTAGTATCCATAAACTTCAATGGCTTGCGTGGCAAAAAAAAGACATCCTAAACACTTGCCCACATATTTTTAAAAGCAAGATCAATTTCCTGCAAGATTGCTTGCAGAATATTCAAGACATAATATGAACATCAACAGAGTCACAATGGAGTGTAACAATCTCCAGAACCTACACCCTATAGAAGATTTCGTTGAACATGACTAATATATAAAGTATAGGGCAGCTCTCAGATCACACCAGCTTTTTTGGATCGAACAATTAATCAGCTCATATATGACTAAACGACTAGAATGGCAGCAGATCAGGGCACTACACAATAAAATAATTAAGAAAAAAGAGTCAACATGGTATCTATATCTTCAACAACAAATAATGCTCTCCCTACAAAGCACATTCACTGCCCATTCCTGAATCTGCTAATCCAAATTGCGCCAAACAATTCAAAACAACTACAAAACTCTTGGTATATTACGCAGTTCAAAAATCAACAAATCCTAGGTAAACGCATAAGTGAAAAACAAGACACAATTAAAATCAGACATTATACCATGACGAATAACTCTCCAGTAAATGCCTGTTCAGGTTGTGACACCTCTAATATTACAGACAACAAAGGCGAAATCTGTTGTATAGAAATACTGAAAGCCAGCACCTTTAGGGTCCCTGTAATCAACATCACAAAGTCACGCAGCTCATCAGACTCCACTTTAAAGAAAAGAATACAAATTTTACCCAGTAGTATTGATCAATTCCTCACAGAGCCCAACCAAGTTTTTGATGAACTAGAAATTGACAGCATTCCACATATATTACAAGATCTCTTCCAAGTTATTAACCTCCAGTCCTCAACCAAACAAGAACTCATCAAAGTATATCATAAAGTCAAAGATATCAACAGTTTCCACATTTATATGGATGGATCCTACAGCTTCGAGAATAACTCCAACACATGCGGAATAGGCATAAACATCAGTAATAACCAAACAAGCATAGCTTCAATAGGACTACAACTGAAAGGACAACTGTCAGCATACAGAGCCGAGATTCTGGCTGCAATAATAGCCATAGCCATAAGTGAACTGAAAAGATCTCTCACAATTGAAACTGACTCATTGTCTCTCATAGGAAAATACAATGCATACCTCGAAAACAACATAAAAAAAATCAAGGAACTAAGGCTCATCAGCAATCTCAGTATAATAGCAACCCATCACCAAACCCCAATCATCTGGGTTAAAACTAATAAGCAGAACCACTTCACCATCCACCCTTTCTTTGAAGCTGACAGACTGGCAAAACATTACAACAACAACAAAGCAATCGATTCCCAAGGCCAGGTAATGGATACTACTCTCAGCAATAGGATTTTCACCTTCTATTATAAAAGCCAAACAGAAATCATTACAACCACCCGAAAGGCCTTCAAGTGTATAAGGTAAACACAGTTAACATATCAATGAATCATGCTAGATAGAAACAAAGATCTCACCAAATAACAGGTGAAAGACATAGACTGGAAAGAAACAAGTCAGAGGCTTCATCCGTCAGCTATCAACCTCAACAAAACAGATTCATGGGATCACTTACAAAGAAGCTTTACATTAAAACTATGGAACGAAGAGCTCCCTACAATGGACAAGCTTCACACCAGAAGACCAGACATATACAAAACTGACACATGTTTTGGGTGTCTAAATATAGAAGACAACATTTATTCTTTTAGATGCCCCTTACATAGTATCGATATAGAACAAGTCACATTGAACACCATACACCAAGAAATAACTGCAAGAATTGACAATAATATTGATCGAGATATTAAACAGGAACTTACTTTAAACATAGCAGCAAACAACATGTAGAACAAGATCATCTCAGGAGACATTAGTAAGACCATCCTAAAGATTATAGGCAAATACATCAAAACCAATAAAATAACAGAGACTATTATCAGCATTTGCAATATTATTAGATTCTGGACATACAATATATGGATCGACAGGTGCAAGCGTCTGCACCAGTAGGAGAAACTACAAGGAATACCGATTGGCAAAAAAGAGAAGTATCATAAAATCCACAGGAAAAAATTAGAACATAGAGATACTGCAGCCAACAAAATAGAGACATACCTTCCGGAACTCATACATAACATCCTTAAAGGAACTCACGATATCTTCGAAATTTATAAGGAATATGCTAATGGTGCCTAGGCATATTAGTCCCCAATAGGACAACATGCCACAAGGGTTCCAAAAGCTGAGCCCCGCCGCCATTGGCGGCAGGTACCCATCAGCTCAGGTAACAATTGGTTTTATTGTAATCATGTATACTAGACACATGGAAAAAATGTCTATAATATAACCTTTACCTGACAAAGTAACATGTTTTGGTATATAATCTCAATAAAATGGGCAATGTTGCATGTTAAAAAAAAAAAAAAAAATAGAAGCTTATTTATATTCCTAAAACTAATGTGTTTTATGTCAGTTAATTACCTTTGGTGAGAATTTGTGTTATCCAAAATTCAGAATCAAACTGAGATAGGCAAAATTTCTCAGAAAACTATAAAAATAGAAGCTTTTAGAGGGTACAGACAGTCAAAAAGGGAAAAAATAAGTATTTTTACCATAGAAAACCTCTATACATCTCTTGTTTTAAGGTTAGAAAGACCTTCAGATATTTCATAGTCAGTTCTTTTTCTTTTAGAAATTTTCTTATCATTGGTATTAAAGATATTACTTGACTTTTCTTAATTACTAGAAGTCAAGTTTTTGAGTGAAAAGATTTATAAACAAGAGAGAAAGTGTAAAAGTGATTTTTGGAGTTATATTTCAAGTTGTTTCAATAAAAGTATTAAGATTTTATTAGCAAAAGATATAAAAACTTCTTGTGAACATCTTTTTATATATAATTAGAGGATTTACAAAAAAAGTTTTTTTTTTTTTTTTTTTTAGTTTAATTTTTTTTATAAACTATTTTTATAATTTAATATCAAATAATTATTTTTATAATTAAATTTAATATAATTTGAATAAAATATTTTAAGAAGATGAATTTTAATAAATATTTATTAAATTAATTATTATATATCAATTTTAATTGGTAAAAATATATTATATGAATATTAACTAAAATTATTAGAATTAAAATGATTGTTTCATTGATTAAATTTTCTGGCACTACTTTTGATGCTGATTGTATGCATATTTGTAATTTTGAATAAAATACTGTATATTCAATCAAAGTTTAAAAAAATTTTTCTAAATATTTCATCTATTCAAATTAAAAAAGTGCTTTGCAGGATTTTTCCCTTTCCTGTAAATCAATAACTAATTATTCAATGTGTCATTAATTTTTTTTTTAATATCCCTAGCCAGGCTAAATTGTAGTTTATTAATAAATTGAAAACATAAGTACATTTCATTCAAGTAGCATGATACATACTATAGCCAAACTTTTCTAATCAAATCTAACTCATCATAAGCAATAATAGCCTTCAAGTTTGACCTTGGGAATAATATTTTGCTTCATGATGGACTTTGAGTGAAGACTCCTAATTCATGCATCATTGATAGCAGATTGTCATTATTCAACGTGTCATTATAAAACAATTACAAGTTATATAAAAAATTTCCCGATATTCAAAACTTTAAAAAAAGAAAATTATATATTTATTATAATTAAAGAAAAAAATTCTCAAAGATTTATCAAAGTTCATATAATTACTGGAGCTTTTTGAATTAATATTCACATCACTATATATCATGAACTTACTGCGTAAATTATTTAATCTCTTCAAGTTTAAAAATAGCCATTACATCTTAACAAAATAATTTGTATATAAATCATATATTTGGCAATTAAATATATACTTTAAATGGGTTCACACAATTTTAAAGTTTCAGATCTTGGCGATGAACTTATTAATTGTAAGTTTAGAACGGAATATTCGTATTGGAAAGACTATTTAAGTTTCGCTAACGTTATTGAATATACATCAAAGATCAAGAACCGGAAGGAGACAGAAATTTTGTTCCAGAATGGGAATATACTTCTCCGTCATCCGATAAAGCAGAAACCGGAGGTAAAGTTTTGTTGCATTAATGTGGAATTTATTT